GCCCAAAAATGTTTTCAGCAATAGCAATGATATGGATGGAAAGGATGCCCTCCTGCACCGATGCCTCTGGAGGACCACACTTTCCATTCAGAGACACGCTCAGAACTCAACTCACGCTGCACACCGGGCCGACCCCAGTACCGACACTCACAGAATGCAGGTTGGAGAGAGATGCCGACTTCCGAGGAGGTGTCTTCTTTGGACTGAACGTATTCCCAAAGAAAGGCATCTTTGGCCTGATGAAAGCAAAGCCAACGCTCCCTTCTCCTAGGATCAGAAAAAGTCAGGGGTACAAACAGCTGGATCACTGACCTTACGCCATTGTCCTCAAATCTTTAAGACATACATTTTATCATGTAGCTACTAATGATCCTGGTGCTATGGTTTGAATGTCCCCACCAAAACTCATGTTGAAATTGAATTGCCATTGTTTAACAGTATAACAGGTGACTGGGCCATGTGAGCTCTGCTGTCATGAATGGATTAATGCCATTGTCATGGAGTAGGTTAGTCTTCTCGGGAGTGGGCTCCTGGTAAAAGGATGAGTTCTGCTGCCATGCCATCTGTCTCGTGCACTTGCTCACCATGTGAGCCTTCTGCCTCACACAGGATGACCCTCACCAGATATCTGCACCACGCTCTTGGACTTCCCAGTCTCCAGAACTGTGAGCCAAATAAACTTCTTTTCTTTATAAATTACCCAGTCTGTGGTAATCTGTTATGGCAGCACGAAATGGATTAAGACGCCTGGTAAAAGCTCCCATGTGCTGAACACTCCCTTTGTGCTACGCAGTGTGCTGAGATGTTTGGGTGGGGCACAGTGGCGCATGCCTGTAGTCCCAAATACTTGGGAAGCTGAGGCTGGGGGGGGTGGCTGGAGCCCAGGGAGGTTGAGGCTGCAGTGAGCTGTGATCCACTGCTGCTCTCCAGTCTAGGCTACAGGGTGAGAGACCATGTCTCAAAAAAAAAAAAAGAAAAAATTAGCCTGGCATGGTGGCACACATAAGTCACTGGCATGGTCTCAATGACTCAGGAGGCTGAGGTAGGCAGCTCACTTGAGCCCAGGAGTTTAAGACCAGTCTGGCCAACATGGCAAAACCCTGTCTCTACAAAAAATACAAAAATTAGCCAGGCATGGTGGTGTGTGCCTGTAGTCTCAGTTATTCAGTAGGCTTAAGTGGGAGGATCACTTGAACCTATGAGTTTCAGTCTCCAGTGAGCTATGATCATGCCACTGCACTCCAGCCTGAGTCAAAGAGCAAGACCCTGTCTCTAAACAAATAAACAAAGAAAGAAATGGCTGGGCGCGGTGGCTCATGCCTATAATCCCAGCACTTTGGGAGGCCAAGGCGGACAAGTCAAGAGGTCAGGAGTTCGAGACCAGCCTGGCCAACATGGTGAAACCCCGCTTCTACTAAAAATACAAAAAATTAGCTGGGCATAGTGGCGGGTGCCTGTAATCCCAGCTAGTCGGGAGGCTGAGGCAGGAGAATTGCTTGAACCTGGGAGGCAGAGGTTGCAGTGAGCCGAGATCATGCCACTGCGCTCCAGCCTGGGTGACAGAGTGA